AATCATAAATACATAATAATACTTAATAATAATTACAATTTAATTCTTCAAATCAATAATCTGAAAACTAATAATTGATATAAATAATGGACTTGATATTTCCATGATAGTGTACGAAATACATTGATAAAGCAGCAAAAATACAAATACAAAATAAAATATAAAAAAATATGGACCTTCGAGTTACACGACATTGCAGAGATTTAAGAAGGAACAATTTCATTCACTCCCCATAGTGTGTTCCCTTTTTGTTCCAAACTTTAATTTTATTTAAAACTGATGAAAGAAGTACTTTGAATATTTTATAGTTCTTATTTCCATTCCAAAGTATTTCTATCTTGAAACGAAATTTTAGTTACATTGTTTTCGTGTAAATCTGAAAACTCTGTAAATATTCTCCATGTATTTTGTGACGCCCTGTAGGTACACACAGAGGAAGAGAGAGAGAGAGAGAGCAAAGGATAGTTACGTACTGCCGAAATAGAATATAACGCTCTAACTTCGGAAAGTTTCGAATTAGACAAGCCTTGTGTTAGACCGTCCATCGTTTGTGATGCATTGACGTTAGGGTAGGGAGTCGGGTCAGTTTATTCTCTTCGTCTACTTGTCATTCGATCATTCACGGCCCCATGAAAGTTTCATCGCCCACTCACGAACGAATGGCTAGTTTCATAAAAGATCAGAAATAATTCAGCGGTTACCATTTGTTTGTTGTTGCACGATTGACAGATGAAAAATATCCAATTGTTCGCCGGACGGAACGTTCGATTTTTCGAAAAAAGAGACAGAGAGGAGGGCGGAAGCAGGAAAGGAGGAAAAAATAGAGAGGAGAAAAATAGAGGAAAAGGAGAAGAAAAAAAATGTTTCGACGCGTAGATTTTTATTCGAGAGGCAATCGGTCGTAATGAAAGCTTTTTACCGATCGTGGAGGAAAAGTGCACGCGTCGCGACTCGACGCAACCGCTCAAAAATATCAGTTAGTGGATCGTTTCGAGCATCTGGCGGATTTTCGCGACCAGGAAATTATTAATTTTCCTCGGGGCTCCGCGACGCGACGACGCGCGTTACGTTCGATAAAAGGCAACGAGAGAAAAGCGAGTCAAAGCAAAGGCATCGTTCTTTCTCTCTCTTTTTTCTTTCTTTTCTTTTCTTTCCTTCGTCGGGGATATTATATCGCGAACCGCCATACCGTTGTTCTCCGTTTCCATCCGCATCGACATGGATACACTGCGTTTCCGCTCATTTCCTCGTGTGCGCTTCGCGGTTCCACTAATTATCACATGTAGAACATTGGAACATAGATCAGAGAAATCTGCTCGTGCAGTCAGACACACCTATATTGTGAGTTCGTGGGTTATAAAAATTTTCTTGGGTAATTAATAATTAATTATGTAATGCTACTTGGAAATATCAAGTTGTAGCATTTCTCAGAAAAGTTTGGTGAAGATTAAGAGATTAAGTCCCTTCTTGATTAATCCATCTCTAAAAATTGATCCTATCTGCACACTTCTGTTGGATGATCAACCCGGACTCTTATTGAATCTGCAAATACTGACAATGAGCTAGCAACAGTGCACATAAATATGGACTGTGAATAGTTAGTCATAAGGGCAAGATCCAATAGTTGATCATTTATGCTCCTTCCTCTTCCACTTGACGACCAAATATATATAAGGACATGCTTTGGAGACATTCGAAAGCATTAAAACATTCTAAATCATTATAGAGACATTCTATATCATTAAAAGCATTAAACATTCTAAATAATTCTACATCATATTCAAGAGCATTAAAACATTCTAAATCATTATAGAGACATTCTATATCATTAAAAGCATTAAACATTCTAAATAATTCTACATCATATTCAAGAGCATTAAAACATTCTAAATCATTATAGAGACATTCTATATCATTAAAAGCATTAAACATTCTAAATAATTCTACATCATATTCAAGAGCATTAAAACATTCTAAATCATTAAAAGTATTAAACATTCTAAATCAGTCTACATCATATTCAAGAGCATTAGACATTCATCATATTCTAAGACATTCTAAATCATTGTAAATCATTCTATATCATTTTATTTCATACACGACCACGACTCTAAAGGAATAAATTCTTTTAAATTATAAGCGTGTTGGCTGCATTACACGGAATCCAACACTTCATATTTTTGTTATAACTTTTTAATGGAGCATTTGTAGATTTTTTACTACAAGATACTTCAGTCTTATTTCTAGCTATTGAATACGCTTGCAAAATTGCTTGCGCAATTTCTTCTCTTCAAAAAATAATTTATTATACGTAATATTATATTTTTTATAGAGTAATAAATTTAATTTCATTATAGACTCATTATACACGACAGCAGTTAGAGAAATAAAATTTTTGTATATGGTTCCAGATAATCAGAATTCATAATCAAAATCTATATACTACTACATCTGCATATTTCGTTAAGAATTTCTAAATGAAATATAACGATTGTTATTACATTTATACTTATATTTTCTCAATCGAACAGCAACAGCTTCGATCTTCGAACGTGAGAGAACTAAAACTAAACTAAAAAAAAACTAAATTTAATTAAACTAAAGAAAACGCTGTGCGTCGAGTGCAGTGCGGCGCGGTTAGTCAAATTTTTTTAAAAGTCAAGTCCGTCTTTTGTTAGCGCGCCACGTCTACGCCCTGTAAATTACCTCCCCCACCCATGCGGGATTATTTTAGGGAAAAGTTATGTCTGGCTATTTTCGAGAGAGAGAGTGTCAGAGGCGCATTGTTACCGCGGTGTCGCTGAAAGTCGAGAATTATGCGGGCGAGCTATCCTCCCCCACCTCGCCGTGCCATCGACACTGGAACAATGAGTCCTGTTTGTCGATATTTCAAGGCAGTCGGATGCAAGCGAACGACAGACTTCGAAGAGAGGAGGCGGCCGCGCGACCTGTGGATGAAATTCGGGTTTCGTGTGCCGGGTTACGCGTTCCGTTCCATTCGTTTCTCCGTGCGTGATTTATCGCGCCTGATACCGTGATGTACGTCTCTTCCCGCGAAAATCTTCGTTTGCCCGCGCTTCTCGAGCACTGGGACAACGCTTGTCGATGATGTGATAAAGCCTTGATAAAGGATCGGAAAGGAGGCAATGAAACAGTGGAAATAAAATTCAAAGGTCACGCGTGAAAATTGTTGTTCGAGTATATGCAACATCTGCAAAGTTTCACGAGGGCAGACCGAGGCGGATTGGATCACTCGGACAAAAGAGTTCGGTGATCCAATGTTTGTTCAGTTGTAATACGTGCTGAATTGTTATTTTCATTCAATTCGTTTGGGTCTATCCTAGTAAGCTGAACCTCTATGAGTGGTGATCTTTTTTTCACAGTTTTTAGTAACATCGTGTAACTTGAAAGTTACACATAACGTTTGATACTTTTATTTTATTGACTATCGCGTTTCATCAATAAAAATCAAGTAACTTATTTATAACAGTTATTAATTAATAAATCAGCTACAAAAGATCAGCTTGAACAAGAGTCATTTTTCGAGTCTTTTATTACTGATAGAAATAGTTTCGTATCAGGCTCTGGATAAATCTAAGTTCAACATGCTCGATTGCCACAATTTAGATCAAAACAGTAAAGCCAGCCACTAAACAGTTAAGACAGCCAGATTGTAAGTAGCAATTGTGTGCGATGCATATGGGACAAGAAATAAATTTTGAAATTTTCGACGCTTCGGTTTATTATTCTCTAAGGTTTCTTTTCACAGAATTGCAACAGTTCCGATATTTCACGTCGGAATATTAATGGGGGAGTCACTGTGACAACGTATATTATACATCGTCACTTAAAACACAATTAATCTAGTCTATCTTGTCAAAATTCCAAACGAAACACCCCGTAATAACGTAAAAACGTTACTGCAGAGAATAACGAATTGGAAAAGAGAAAACTCAATATCAAAGTGTCCAACGTTCTTTTTTTTTTTTTCACCCTCTGCCCTAATTGTATAACACGTGTTTCACGTTTGACGTTCGTCGCTGAATTTCACTGTTGTGTGTCGCGAAACGGTCATCGTTCGAGATACACGCGAACGATAGCTACTCGAGGTTAACTATCGACGAAGGAAAGGTAATAGGGTCGTGCAAAGTCTGTCGATATTTCGATTCGGTCCCGTGCACCGTCATCGAACCAGACAACGTTTGACATTTGACGGCAGAGGAGGAGGATCCATCACTGGCCATCACTGTGCTCTGTGATGGCCGGATTTTATGCACTGCCGCGTATTTCCTGCATGCGCTGTAATCGTAGACACGTCACGGCGACGTCGCCACCGCTCGATGATCGATGGCCGTTTGTAACGACAGAGTTGGCCGCGCCAAGCGTTAACCAACCGGACGTGCTTTTACTTTCGACGTGGAAACCCCAAAGTGTCTTCTGTTTTGAACCGCGGTGAATTTTAGTCGAGTTGGAGTTTCACGCCGGGAGTGGCTTCCCGGCGAACTTGCTGAATTTAGTGTGTCCATATTAATGTTGCAACTACCGACAGCGTGTTTATGGAGTTGATTCTAGACATCAAGATAGCTAGCTCGCGTAACTCGCGAATGAAACTCGCTTGACAAGCAATCGTACTATACGCGGGTAATGGGGATGTAAAGGAGCAAAAAGTTTGGAGTTCGACACTTCTGCTGTGCATCTCTGTATCTCATACTGTCAGTTTAGTATTTCTACTGTTAACTTTTGGATTCGTATGAAATTCGTACTTCACGTTTCGCTATTAATTTCTGGATTCATATTCAATTCTGGCTCTCTGGATTAATCTGTGAATTTTTTTTTTTTTATTGTATCACTTAACAACAGATATGCTCGTTTCCTATTGTGTGTCTTAGGAAAGTGTTTACAAAGTATTACAATGTTACTCGTTGAATAAACGAAAGTCGTCGATGTAACGAAAAATATTTAAACCATACACACTCACGATATTTTTGTATCGGTTTCAGATACGGGACCTTGATGTAGTGCAGCATACATAGAGGTAAGGAAAAGGCTTCTATAAATTTATACCACGTACGAGAGATCGAAGCAAATTTGCACAGTGAAATTATCTAGACGCGATCGCAGGTATAATGCGATCGAGATAAGACGCGCGAAATTTATTGTTCACGTCTGTGTACGCTGACATTAGCATTCCTTGTTTAATAATTTCCTGTTTTGTGGAGGAAAAGTAAACATTCGCTTGTTGTTTTCTGAATTCATCTGGAAACGATGGTACAAAGCTTTATATGCTGAATTGATTAAGGCGATTAGGTTCACATATGCTCCAAATTTTATGGAAATGTTTTTACGTAATAATCTTTTCTGTGGAGTAGGTTGATGTAGATTGATTCTTGCAATTCTTCGATTCTTGGTATTGAATTACACATCGGGCGAATTCAATGTATATTACGTATGAAATTGGCTCGCATATAAAATACAATAAAAATGTTTCCAATTATACATATATTAATTGTTACTCTTCCGAGATTGATTAATTATTTATTGTCCACCGTGTCCGCTGAATTACAGTTATAAATTAACATAACTGAAATAACATTTTGTCTCAATATCAATTAGCTTTGGTCTTCCTTATCGATTAATTTAGTATATTAAAACAAGGAATGGAAACAATTATGTATGATAAGAATAATTATAATTATGTAATTATAATTATTGGACGGTAATTTCTATCGATTTATATTTATAATACTATCAAGTTCTGTTTTCTTACCATCGAGATTATAAAAAGAAAATTTCAAACACAGGTTTAATATTTTTCACTATGCTCAATCTAAATTCTATTCGTAATATGATTAGAGTGCGGATGTTTATGCAATTTTGTACTTTCGTGGGCACAATTAGAGAAATGAAACTCAAACAGAGTTTTCATTTGTTTTGTCTGACAAGTATCGGAATGAATATTCTGCCTTGAATATTTTTGAATATTCACATACATTCTGTAGGTTATTGAAATCTTAAGTTTCTCAAAATTTGAATAAAATTGCATACATAAATATTTACATAAATTTATAAACATCTAGTATATTATCGTTTAGTCCTCAATGAATTAATTATACCAAAACCGTCTATACATGTTTTTAATAGTTACAAAAACAAAAATATCTGAACAATACTGTGCAATAAAATTTGATCTGCCGGAAACGAAATTAAACGCATTTTTACACAAATTCATCTTCGGAAATATAACTTAAAAAAGAGGACCTGAATGAAAAGTTGTTTTCTCTATTAATTAATCATCTCGGAGTATTGTGTTTCGTATACTTTTACAAGCATTTCGTGCGTTTTCAGTTGCTTGCGATAAAAATTCGCCGATGGTAACTTTTTACTCTGTGAAATTCGCGAAAAGAAGAAAATTTCATTCGAAAATTTTCTTTGATCTGCGCCTACCAACTTCGATTGTTTCGACCGAACACAGCGAATTCGATTCTCCCTTCAAAAACTTCAACAGTTCCGCTGTTCATATTACTTTAAAGGCCGTCCGATCGAGGCATCCCATCAACCCCGTTTCCAAACCGCGTTCACCGCTCGACGGTCAATTTAATCACCAAAAACTATTGTCACCGAGCCGATCGCGCGTGTCGAGCATCGAGCCGCGCCCCTCGTTCGCGGGTTTCATCAGTTTCCCCAATATGTGGCTGGTTAACCGCGACGTTCGTATTTCAAAAGTGGCCGGACAGAGGCTCTGCCTGGAGTTGCGCGCGCCGTCGCGATTACGCTCTCATTACGCCGATTTTCAGCATTGCGAGACAAAAGAGAGACCCGTCCGCGCGAGCTCTCTCTTGGCTTCCGAGCCTCGTAATTTTCACTTTCCGCGGCACATTCCGCCATCGTGCAACGGCGCCGCATATCACGATACGGGATGAAAGTGCAAATGAAGAGAAAGGTATCTCGGTTGAAAATCCTTTGGAAAAAAAAGGGGGAAAAGAGAGAAAGAAAAGAAAGAGAGAGGTTGAAATTCAGCTCGATATTCAGACTAGTTCCTATTTTCATCTTCTTTTTTTTTTCGTTTCTTTTTTTACCTTCCCTGTTTTTTTTTTTTCTTCCTCGTTCCACGATGGATCAGCGAGAGGTCAGCGAGTTAATTCGTAGCGTTAATATTTTTCTTTCCTTGTCTCTTGCTAACTCCGCTGGGTGATTATTGTAATTATTGCTAGACTGTGGATTTTCGTTCGCTTACGGGACAGTTGAAGAAATTTGGAAAATTGCTTTCTATTGCGCATAGTATCTGTATGAAATAATTTTGTAAAATCATTGAAATATTATTGAATTATCGAATTATTAAAGATACTGTATAAGGTATAATTTATAGTGTGAATTTTCATAAAAATTGTGCAGTGTAGTCGTTACTGAGCATTAATTTCGATTATTTAATGTCGATTAAATATACAAACGCGATTGAGTTCTTTTTATTTAACATGAGTCATAAAGGACAGAATGAATGAAATTTGAAATTACGTTTGTTAATGTTCCGTGTGTTCCAAACGTATCAAATTTTGCACAATATTACAATGTAAAAGTTTTGTACTGCATCTCTGAAATTGAAACACTTGTAACATTTTAACTCTCGTCCGTTTCTCATTTTTTCTCACTTTGATACAATAGCAAAAAATTGATACCTGCAGTGAAAGGACGGATAAATTTGCAAATTCTTTCATCAACAGTAAATGGATTGAATTTCTATTGAATTTTTATTCACTAAGATTCTACACATCTTGTGGATGTTCGTACTCTGGTCTTTTTTTTCTTTAATCCTTGCCTGTGTTGTTATCATTTTCATTCGTTTGTTACAAAACTATTCGAACTCTAGCGGCATATTACCAAAAAATACCAGAAATATAGAAAGAAAGAAATGTCACATCTCCGTAGCTGCAAATTATAATAAATGTATCAAATCTGCAAAAAAAAAAAAAAAAAACGAAAATGTATCAAATGAACATGACGGAAGACTGAAGGTTGCGAACAAGGACCTAATATCGCGTAATTGAAATATTATATTTCATTCGTCATTTCTATGAACGGCTACTTGTCAAAGGTAAATAAAATACAAACGACCAACCTGATCGTATCACATTTGTCGTTAGCAATCGCTTAGAATCGCGACTGTTCTTTTCAGATGCGAAAGAGAAACAAAATGCTGATATTGTTCGGACATTTGATTCGTGTCAAGTGCTTTGCAAATAATTTCTATAACAGCCACGCTGAATAAAAAAAGGAAAAAAAAAGAAAAAATGCAGCCGACGCTGAGATCTAATGGAATCGGGAATCCGGGTCAAGCTCTCTTCACCTTATTCCTATAGCCTAAATTTAAATCTGCTCCCTGTGTGCGCGATATTTCCGTTTCCTTGGTTCGAATTTCCTTCCACCGAAGTGGTTGCAACTTCGGATGAAAGCGCGCACTTCAAAATAACGCGCAAGAATTATGATACCGATAGTTTCTTGTAAAATTCAGTCGCGAACATTCTCGACTTGCTGGATACTTCAGAAATTTTTGTGAAAAGTTGTTGGTACTCGAGAGAAATTCATCTTGACTTCGAGTTAACAATTGTCATTTTTAAGAAAATGTCGTATTTTGCAGGTGTATAATATTTTTTTTTTTTTATATTTTACCTTGACAAATTGTTAATGCTAGAGTTAACCAACGACGAGAATATAAAACTTGTGCTAAAATGAAATTGAAAATGAAAAATACGTATGATGCAAGGTTTAGTTTGCAAAATATATTTAGAAAAGAATCATTTAAATTTCCTAAAATATTCTTTGTAAATAATTATAATTGATTGTTCGTTTTAACTATTAACATCAATACTATGATTTCCGAAAAGAAAAGGAACTAAAAATAATTATGTCTGCGAAATTATAAATTAAAGCAATCCGTTCGAATTTAAAAATCATCTCAGTCTCTTCAGGGATTACTCAATAATTTATCACTTTGTTCAATTTCGATCTTTTATGTCACTTTTTCCATAGTACAAAATAAATTTATCTTCTATATAATTATATAATCTTGAAGTTACAAATTCAAGCCAATCTGTTCAAATTTTAGAGACATCTCGTTTCACACCAAATTCAATTCTAAAATCAAATTGAGCAATCAAATACAGATCTTTTGCGTGACTTTCTCGGTGCAGAACAAAATAAATTTAGCCTCTGAATTATGCCTGCGTCTTTAAAGTTACAAATTGTGCCAATCTGTTCAAATTTGGAGGACACCTAAGTTTCCTCCGACTATCTCGTCGGCAGTAGCTCTTTCTTCGGACGCGTTTCCCTCGATGCTAGTACCAGATGGTTTACGACACCCTACGCGCTCCATAGCGCGGCGCGGAATGTCTTCGATTCTTGGGATGCTGTAAAAACACGCGAAGAATATTTTTCCAGGGAGCAGAGAAAGCCCTAGCGAGAGGAATACTTCGACGCCTCGAACGCTTCGACTCGTCTGCTGCACGACTCGCGAACAATCGTTTCTTTGGCCCCGTAAAGTAGCAGTCTCAGGCGTTCCCGCGAGAGTTCTTTCTGTCACGTTAACATCGCAGCCAATGAAACGACGAGTTCTTTGCTCCAACAGCACTGTTCCAGATGTTTCTTTTAAAGTTAAACGCTCTTCCAGTTGGAAAATCGTTGCAGAAATCTTCGCAATTATTTCGTTTTGATTGAAATTTTAACTTTTCTTCGGGGGAAGGTGTTTCGCAAATTTTCTCGTCGAAATAGAAAATTTCGCTGTTATAAATTTTTTTTACACAACCCTTGAGTTAGCATCGTTAGACATAGCAGTTGGATAATTGTTGGAATTTCTAATTCAATTTAATTTCATTATACGAATGTCGATCTCTATCTTGAAAGCGCGTACAAACACGAGGTGAAATTAAACTTTAGTAACGTGAAATTTATAAATTAGAAATTTCGGTGATGTAACGTGAATTATTATGATGAATTATTATAATGCAGTAATTATTGTAATAACATGAATTATTATTACCAGTC